TTATTACTGGAATTATTTATAAATTTTTAATTTAATAATTAAAAACGGGCAAAAAATAATTAACTGATGCCATATGTGTAGTACTTTTTAAAACACAGTTACAAACAGTTAAAGTGCGAACACAACCAAATTGAACAATGAAAATGAGCATGATGGCAGTGGCGCTGGGCTTGATGGTGGTTCTAGCATTGGTGCCCGACGAGTTGATCATGGTACAATCAATGGCCCAGAGACCTGGATACGCGCCGAATTTTATGAATATTGGCAAAAATGTGCGTAGTTGTGGCATGAATCCACCGTTGGACCTCATCAACGTTGCGTTTCTTTCAAGTGTGTTCCCAAATAAAAGGCAGAAGACAAAGATAATGAACTTTGCAACAATTGTCATTTATTTAATATGTTTGCATATGTAATAAAATATTTGTAATCTCGTTATATTTGATTAAACTTTATTAAATAAAATATTAAGCATATATATAAAATTGTAATTGTTTTATAAACAGTGTTTTAACACAACTAAACTTTATCCCGATTATAAATTTATATATTTTAAAATAATTTTATCGTAATTACTTTACAAAAAATGGAGGAAAATTAATTAAATTTTTAATAAACATATGTTTATAGCCTATTATTACACACATCGCTCCCCCTATGCCCCATCACTACCAACACGGGTGGATACAAGTCTTGAACACTGGTGTAAAGTTACACATCTCGATGACCAACACTTGCGATGATGGCTGTGGTGTTAGTGTGCGTGTAATTGACCCGCGATTGGCCATTTGGTCACCACCACTCAACCCATACACACCATAATCATCATCACCTGTAGACCCCAACTCATACACTCATACATCCCTATTATCACCACAAGTATTTATGATTACAATTATAATGAAAAATATTGCAAATATAAATGAAAGTAATTTTACTGAGAATTACTTTACATGTTTTAAATAATTCAATACAATTTTGATGTTGTTATGAATCTATTGATTAAAATAAATTGTTTTTTGTATTATTATAAGAGTTATCAGAACTCTCATAAGGTGTATAATTCTAACAGTAACACCAATTTTGTTATTTTCATCTAGTTAAATGAATTTATTGCCAATTAATAAGCGTTATGAATTGAATTAAATTAAATCACACATAAAAAGACATTTACAACAATATTATTTACAACAACAATACATAATTATTAATTTGTATACTTTTAAAGTGCTGTTCAGATAGTATTTATTAAAGTTTTTATTATTACTGGTATTTATTGTTTCAAAGACGGATTAGTTTTTTGGTTTTTACACAATAAAATTTCGCAAAAAAATAAGTAATAATAATAATAATGGTTATAAATAGTAATTATAAATTATTATAAGCATTTAATAATTGTAATAAATTAATTACGTTATTACTGGAATTATTTATAAATTCTTGACTCAATAATTAAAAACGGGCAAAAATTAATTAACTGATGCCATATGTGTAGTACTTTCTAAAACACAGTCACAAACAGTTAAAGTGCGAACACAACCGAATTGAACAATAAAAATGGACATGGTGGCAGTGGCGTTGGGCTTGATGGTGGTTCTAGCATTGGTGCCTGATGAGCTGATCATGGTACTAGCAATGGCCTAGGTTGGCACGCCGATTGTGGGTGACTTGAGTCAGTTTAAGGGACTTACGCCTGAACAATTTCTGAATTATGGATAATCACATCCCACACATGTATCGGCGGTCGATGAGGCAAAAGAGGCACATAAAGAGCTTGGTTTCAAAATGTCATTTATTTAATAAGTTTGCATATGTAATGAAATACTTGTAATCTCGTTATATTTAATTAAGCTTAATTAAATAAATTATTAAACATATTTTTAAAAAATGTATATTGTTATTGTTTTATTAACTCTGTTTTAGTACAACTAAACTTTATTCCGATTCTTAATTTTAGTATTTTTAAATATATTTGTTGTAATTATTTTACAGAAAATGGAGAAAAATTAATTAAATATTTAATAAACATATGTTTATAGTCTATGCAAGGTTTATAGTAATATAAAATTTGATTTTATAATTAGATTTGATTAAATAAGTTTGCTTAACTATTGCACAACACCTGCGGCCGCGACCGTGGCTTTCAGTACCCTATTTGTGCCGATGTGTCCAAATACGAGAAATTGACCAAGATGATACAGGGTATGTATTATTACTCACATCACTCCCTTCCCCCTCTATGCCCCTCCTTTACCAACACGGGTCGACACAAGTCTTGAACACTGGTGTAAAGTTACACATCTCGATGACCAGCGCTTGCGATGATGGCTGTGGTATTAGTGTGCGTGTGATTGGCCCGCAATTGGCCATTTGGTTACCACCACTCATCCCATACATAGCATAATCATCATCACCTGTCAGACCCCAATTCATACACTCATACATCTCTATTATCACCATAATTAAGCGCAACCAAGAACTAATCTTATCATGTTCATGTTGCTATTGTTATCACCCAAACCATAGGTACGTTCGGTGAGGTATTGAAAGCCCGGGACAGACACACGGGTCGAGTGGTGGCATTGAAACGGGTGCTGACGGACAACGACGAGAGGCAAGGCTTCCCACTCGCGTCGTGTCGTGAGATCAAAATACTTGAGCCCTTGAACCACAAGAATATCGTATCAATTGTTGAGATCTGTTGACCAACAGTCGGTCAACACTACGGCCGCTCCTCAGACCACCCGTTCGGTCAGTACAGGTGCGGCCACTTTTTATTTGGTGCTGGAGTTCTGTGAGCACGACTTGCGCCGAACTACTGGCCAACCGTACGGTCCGTTTCTCGATGGGAGAGATCAAGAAAGTGATGCAACAGCTGTTGAACGCCTTGTTTTCCATACACTCGCAGAAGATATTGCATCGAGACATGAAAGCGGCCAACATTTTGATCACCAAAAACGTGGTCTTAAAACTGGCCGACTTTGGACTCGCCCGAGCTATCAGCTCATGTAATACAAACAAAAGCTACACCAATAAAGTGGTCACTCTATGATACTGGTCGCCGGAGCTATTGCGGGGCGAACGTAATTAAGCCTCACCCGTAGACCTGTGGGGCGCCGGTTGTATAATGGCTGAGGTATGTGTGCCCTAAACACCTGATCCAATGCCCGATCGGCCTATTGGGAAGGGTATCTGTAAACTAGGGCTTTAAATATTGTTTTTAATCTAGTGTTTTATGGGACTCACACTTACAGATGTGGACCCGGAACCCAATAATGGCCGGCACCACAGATTAGATGCAACTCAACCTGTGTTTTAGTACAACTAAACTTCATTCCGATTCTTAATTTATAATTATTTTACAAAGATGGTGGATAATTAATTAAATTAGAGTTAAGTTTTGATAATATTTTCACTTCTATAATAATTTT